GGGTGGGTGTGTTGTTCATACCCTCTTCGATCTTATGAATGGCCGAATTGAAGGCCACGACGAGTAGTCCGAAGGCAATGCCGGCGCCGATCAACACATTACTCTCTAATGGCATGACTTCTCTCAACGGCTCATATGATTGGGTGAAGCGATTGATTAATTGATTGATTTAATTGATTGACTGATTATTGTTATCACAGTATATATCATAAACTGATTGATTGGTCGCAAATGATATGTAAAACACAATACAAACACAAAACAGTGTTTTATTTACATTAACTGAACATAACGTGAAAGTCAATGAGTTTTTTGCTGTGTTTTGTGAACACATTTTTTATGATGGGTTAGTGTTTGAAATGCTGGTAAATATTTGCATCACAACCCGGTATACCCTACCATTTCGATACCTTTTTATGCTATGGTTGGTCCGTATTGTGTAAGTTATAGTATGTGTGCGTAAATAGTGCCAAATTATCGACACGTATCCGTGTTTTGTTGTGCATAAAGGGTGTGTTTGTAGTGTATGTTGTGTATTAGTTGTGCCCTTTTTCCATAGGGTATGTGTGTGTTGTCAATGGGACGAAATTTGAATGTGCCGTTTGGGTACAGAATATTCTGTATTGTATTGAACTGTAGATGTAGTGTATATTCCGTGGAGTGCCCGACGGGTGCGCTAATTGGGAATATGATTTAATAAGGTAATTTTAATTTAATATTTGTTAGAAGTGTTTTTATTTATTACATAATCTTGATAGATAATATTTATCGTTAATATCCTATCAAGATTATGATAAATTTACACAGTGTACATTTGAATTACCATGTAATTTAAGTTTAAAATATTTGTTATATAAGAGTAGATTTATGTAAAATTATAATAAATTACTACAGAAACTTATTTTAGAAATTATAAGCATTTTTACTCGGTAGTACGCCATTATTGTTATATATAAATGAAGTATTTGTGCATTATAATTGTCCATAATTTTGAAATTACAGTTTTTACCTACATTTTTAATTCTATAGTTGTATTGAAAGACAACAAAAAAACGGATTATTTACGGTATATTGAATTAAGTTTAAATGTACTAACGTTAGAGCGTAAGTTTGTTCAATCAATAAGTGTCAAACTGTTTTTTCCAACTAAATGTTTGTTTATGTGTTCATGGTTGTCTTATACTGCAAATACTTAAGTATTTTGCGTTATTTTAATTTATAAAACTATCTCATTTGTAGTCATAATGAAATTAATCTCGATATAAATATAACGATTTCAATAGATCACAATTTAAATATCATGATTTTAAATATAAAGTAACTTAATAAATAGTACACTTGCTGATTGGTAACGGACGCCCTTTTACAAATATCAATATCTTGGTCAGTTTTATAACCAATTGTTATCCAACTGGTAATAATATATAATAAATTACTATTTGAATATTAGTTGACATAAACGTAGGAATTAATGTACCCAAAAACATTTAAAATAAATATATTTTATTTAATTTTAGTATTAAAAATGTCAATTTAAATGTGAAAATAAATTACAAGCTTTTGTATTGCGGTTAACATTTAGCTGATTTGAAAACTTTTGGTGCAATCTTGAAGAGTTCGCCTGAAAAACAAAAAATCATAAATAAATAGTCAAATATAAAATATAGTTAAATATAAATATATAATTATTAATAAAACATCCGATATTAAGGCCAAGAATATTTGAATAATGAAATTAATGTCAAACAAAGACAGACAGGTAAGTAAATATCAAACACCGCGATCAATAATTTGTTTAAACAAATAACCACGCTATTCTAATTCTAGCACATTCAAAATAAATTACCAGCAAGGTCATTATACAGACATTATAAAGACATTATACAGACATCATACACTTTACATCCAATACTTACAGCCATTAACGCATTGAACAAAATAATCAGGGTTCTCTTTCATGACGGGCATACAGTAACTATCCTCCAGACAGGGTATGGTCTTCTTGCAGCCCTCGGCGCATATCATTAGATACATGTATTGGGACAGAGAGTCTTTCGACTGTTTGGCATTCTTCAGGTAATTACACGATTTCATACATGAAAAGTCTTTGCTCCGGGCGGCCACCTGTGGCAACAGTCCGGCCATCATCTCGTCGTTTGTCATCTTTTTGCCCGTGTCGTGAGGGTATACCCGCTTAGTGCTCAGCCCGGCGTAGTTCGTCGCCGCACTGTCCGACTCGGAGTCCTCGTTGTGGTCACCGCCGGTCACCCGTTGCCGCAGATAGTACTGCAGTCGAGTCAGGTGTCGCTCCAGTCGGTCTATGTAGGCGTCCCGGCGCTTGATGGCCAGCTCCAGCCGCTGGATCTGGTGCTCAAACCTGTTTGGCTCTGGGTATGAATATGATGGTGATATGTGGTGTTCGCCACTACTGTCCTGACCCGAGTCCCCGTAATCCCAGCCAAACGTATGACTTATGCTTATTATGGCTATTATTAGCTGAAGAGATAACTTGTAATTCATGTTAACTCTATGTTTAAGTTGTCATATGTTTTGCTTAACTATTGTATCAAAACATATATGAAAATGTTTTTAATTAAATACTCCATTAATAAAATATAAAATTTAATTAATTTCCTGTGATATACATAAATATTTAGTGTTTTCACTATTTGTAATAAAAGGTATTTAATGAATGATATGTTTAAAGTTCTTATAATGAAATTAAAGGCAGAATTTATTTTATAAAATAATTTATTTTATATTAAATAACAATAATATATTATTTACAAAACAATTCTTGGATTTCAAATGTAATTATTTCAGGAAAACCTAAATATAATGAACAAAAAACAATTAAAAATATTTATTCATATAAATAACAAAAACACAAACCTTTGGTATAATAGGAAAGAGTGGACAACTGTTAGCTGTAAATGAATTAAATAAAATAAATTATTATCATTTTGGACTCAACATGATCAAAACAATACCGCATATAACAAAGTAATCGGGATTCTCCTGCATGACGGGCAAACAGTAATTATCAGTCAAACAATCTAGCTGATTCTTGCAGCCCTTGGAACACACGGCCAGATACAGGTACTGGACGAGTGGTCCGTCTTTGGCCGCTTTGGTGGTCTTGAGGTAATTACAAGTGGCTAAACACGAGCGGCAATTGCTGTCACAGAATTCGCCGGCTCTGCTCTTTACCTTCGATACTTTGGTCAGATCGGCGAGTATATCGCTGTCCGATCGGGGTATCACCGGTATCAGCATTTGGCTTTGCGGTTTCACCGCGCTCATATCGTAAACGGCAAAGTCCTCCACTTGGGGACTGTCGGGCGCTGGGCTCTCGGGCGCTGAACTCCTGGCCCCAGAAGTAGCATAATTATGGATGTAATGGTGCGGGTGCTGGTGGTGGTAGGGCTGGTGCGGGTGGTAGAGATGGTGCCGTTGATGGTAACCGTATTCAGGGTACTCCTGGTAGCCCTCATACAAGTATGGACATTGGACCCATTGGTTGTTTAACTTTAATTGTATTATTATTACGGTTAAATCTAGATGGTAAATGTATAATTGTTTAAGTTTGTATTAAAATAATTGTTTGTTTATTTGTTGATTACTTACTGATCAGCGTATATAAATTAAATGGCATTTTATAGTTTTCATTTGATTACATCTGTAATGTGTAGTGAAAATTAATTTGTTATTTAATTTGATTTAAGTGTGTAAATGGTGTCCAATTTCCTGTTTGAATACATTTCGTAATTGCTGTTCACTTTCTATGGGATAAGAAAAGTTTAATTATTTGTAAACTTATTTAAATCGCTAATAAAAACTTGCTATACTGCAAAATAAATTAAGGTATAAATTTATAATTGTTGTAATAATGTAAAATAGTTTATGTCGGTAATAGTTAAAAGGTTAATAATATAAATTATAAAGCTAAAAAAACATTATAAAGTAAATTATAATGTGCTTAAAAATGTCTCACAATTTCATTTGTCAGTGAATTATACAAACAATTAATTCGACGCTATGTTTGTAATTAAAATTCAAATTAAACTTAACTTATTTTAAAACACGTTTAATTAAATTAATTTTGAAACCAATCCAAACTTTTTTAAAAACTTTCTAAAAATACAAAATTAATTATCATTTAAAATTATAATCACAAATTATACACAAAATTCAGTTCAGTTTTTCACTGAATATTTTATTAGTTTTATAATTAAAAATAGAGTTAAAAATAATATATATTTAAGAAATAATACAATTAGTTATATAAAAATAAGTACATTTTTGTAAGATAAATGGATTATAATCCATAGATTATATTAAATAATTCTCTAATCATAATTAAAAACACAAAAAATGTAAGTTTAGCTAAAAAACGGAATATATGTTTAAATTTATGTACAAAATCTCAATAAAATTACTTAAATCTCAATTAATTGACAACTAATTTGTAATTATTATTAATTATAATTTATGTATCAATTGATTAACAAGTGTTAAGAAGTGGTTTAGTTATGAATTTAATGCAAATGATTGCATACCAAGAGTGGCATCAAATCAATTGGTGATCACAAACGGTTCGCTGACACCCAAGACATCGCCCGCTTGTGTCAAGTAAACCAAACGGAACCGATCGGCGATCAAAAGAGTTTCGGCCGCGAATTGCACCGAAAACCAGGGCTCCGAGTGTTCATCCATGGCTGGGGGCCCGGCGTCCGCACTCTCACCATCATTCTCGGTGTCCGACTGTTCTTCTGCGCCCGACTCGGGCGGCGGTGACCAACGCGTGGGCACCGGATTCACCCACACGTATGACAAGAGTTCATCGGTGGACAGGAAATCAGATTTATATAAACCTATTGTTTAATTAAAAATAATTTATAAAATTAACAAATAATCAACAATTAATGTCGAGAGAGAGAGAGAGAGAGAGAGAGA